AAAAACAATTCTGAGGCAATGCCATTCTCTGATCACTAGAACAAGTGCTAAGAGCAGTCCTACCCTGTGTGCTTTACAATGCAAGTACATCTGTGTCCTGCTTCATCATCCCTGAGACCTTCACATAGAGAGCAAAATTATAGGCCTACTTCGCTGATGTGCAGACTGAGGTCCAGAGGCTCACCTAAGTGCTTAGTAAATGGCAGAGACTGCTGCTTCCTTGATGATATGGTCCCTGGGATCACCTGGGTTTTGGAAGTGAGGCCATACACACGAAATCCCCTCTCTAGGGGTCAGTCATGTACCCACAACATACCCACAGCCTGTGTGAATCTGGACTAATGGCAAGGACCCCAATCCCTGAACCTGGTCCTCCTATCCAGACTTCTAAGTGTCATTCCAGTTCCTAGGTGGCTGTCCCCCTATCCCTATGGGATCCTCATTTCTGGTTTTCTGCCAAGCTGGACAGTGAGTCATGCTGGTCACAAGGCTCTAGGGAGCTAATAGGTAAAGATACTTTACCTGTTTATGGGATGAAAGCTCCAGGAAAGGGGGCTCTCTTTTCTCCACTGGTCTAGCCTGAACACCCCGAGTTGTATATGGCCTGCAAAAGGTCCCACAAATATGAGTCCCTAATTGGGGAATGGGAGGCAGCTAAGTGGGAGGAGATTTGAAGGCAGGCAGGGCAACTGGGTTTGAGACATGAATTTACAACTTTTCATCTGTGTGACACTGGAAAAGTCCTTGTCATTACCTGAACCTCTGTCTCCTCTTTGATGAAATGAAAATAGCAATTCCTGTGTCACAGGAGTAAATGAGGTAATACACACAAAGTACCTTGCACAGGAGAGTCACTCAACCATTCCCTCCTCCAGGTTGCACAACAAACTTCAGAATAGTATAGCTTTGTTCCCAAGAAGGGAAGACTAAATAATTTGCTCCTAGACTGTGAACTCCTGGATTTTAGGGAAGGTATTTGTTCAAGGTCTCACAAAGAGCTTGTCACACTAATAGGATATAGTCTGAGATCTGCTTCCTGAGTCCAGTGCTCGTTTGCAAGCAAAAGCATGTGACTCCATGTGCCCATGCCAGATGGGCAGAAATCTTGAACCAGATCACACACTATAGGAAGAGGGGAATACAGCACCTCCTAATAGGTATTTCTAAGGTCTCCAATCTAAAGAAAAGGGACAAATAGAACGGACCAGTATTTTTGCAGCCATCCAAATCTCTACATACCATTACACCAGTGGCTCCTCTCTTCTGCCTCAGCCCTACTTTCATTTAGAGGAGAGGAGACAGGCTGAGAATCGATTCTGGTCAGTCTATAGGTAGGAAGCACACTGCACTCGGAACCCTAGATGAAGCTACCTACCTTCTGTGAGTCACTGGATTTTTCAGATTTAATTATCTTCACCCATAAAGGAGAATGATAAGAATAACCTGTCCCTTCTGGCCCAGAGTGGTCAGCAAGCTCAGAAGGACTACAGGGCATGTCATCTCATTGGGGCCTTAAAGAGCAAGTCATTTAGTAGCATTAATTAGCTATACAAGATAAGCAAAGAGTATGCTGCCCCTTTCTCTCATCAACTGTTCAGGTAATGCCCTTAGTTCCCCTTTTTGTCCAGGAGCTGCTCACAGCTGAGGGAATCTTTGCAACTTCAGTGGGGTATAGACTGAGATAGAGCTGACATGGGACATGTAACCTGAGTCCTGACTGTATGCACACTCTGGAGGACTCCCAATTTACAGATCTAATAACTTTGAGATTCTCACACTAGTAATCAATTGACCTACAGATCTGGGGAAAAAATCAAGATCTTAACTTCAAAGGGAAGGACCAACTGTTCTGCCTCCTGTTGAAACTCCACACACAAACTTCAGACTGGATGCCTTATTAACTTTGGATAGACACCCAAATGTTCAAAAGGCAAAACTCCTCTTTTTCCCACATCACAAGTCATTAATCAATCATGCCACTGAATGAATGAATAAATGATGCTGAAAAGGTGTTTGCATTGCTGAGTTCTGATGACCACTTTTTTTTGCAAGGTGAAATTTTTATTATGTTATCACAAGAAATTGAGAGAATATTAAAAATGCTATTATAGTTAACTGATGACCACTTTTGCCTGATATCTAACTCAATGTTTTGTGGTTTTCGACATGCTTTAGATCTAAGAGACACAGAGTATGGTGATGAGGATAGCAGATGCTGAGATCTGCCACTTTCCTAGGTTTGTGACTTTGTCAAATTGCTTAACCTCTCTGAGCCTCAGTTCCTTGCAGAGAATAATAGTCTCTTCCTCTCAGGGTTGTCACGAGGATTACAGGAGATAGTGTACCCCACTATCTATATTTGCTTAGCAAAGTACCTTGCACCTAGTGAATGGCAGGTATTCCTGCCTTTAGTTCATTTGAACTCCATTCTCAGAAAAACTCTGGAGCTTTTAGGAGCAGATGGAAGACCAGAAACTTGGTCTTAGGGTAGAATAGCTGTCACATCAGATGCATATATTCCTGCAATGGGGCTCTCAATTTATTTATACATAAATCCCAGAGCTGTTCAAAAGAACTTTCCTCTGGGACAGATAGAATTTTATTTCAAGACTCTGACTTAAGATGTGCATTTTTTGTTAGTTTGTTTCCCAGGAAAGAACAAGAGAACCAGTTCAGCCAAACCTGAAGCAGATATCTATGTTAAGGTTGCTTTCAGGATGAGAGGGAGTGGTGCAAGCAATGTATTTCTAGATATCCATGGTTTTGTGAATGCAAGGTGCAGATCCTTGGATCTTATGAAGCATCAGAAAAACAACACACAATGAAAGCTTCTGGAAATGCACAGCTAGATCCTACAAAGGGCCTCCCTCTGCTGCTCACATTCTAGGCCCTGAAGTAACTTCTTTGGTCAACAGGTTTCTTGATGAACTCAGAGGTCATTCTGCTTTTAATCTGTCAATCTCTGTCCTTCATTTCTTAAGAATCCAGCTGCTGAGATCCTCAGTGTGTGCAGCAGAGTTCAATTTTAGCACAGGGTATCTTCCTGAGGTATCACAAATTGACCAAACACTAAAATTCAGCTGCTCTCACACCTCACCAAGAGCTGCCCCTGCTGCTCAATGATGGAAACATCACTTGCCCAGCCCAGCCAAAGGTGCAGGCTCTCTCTATGTCATCCCCTTTAGAGACCATATGTCTTCCAAGAAGACAGATGTGGTTTCAACTGTAAAGATGACTTTTCTGAGACAGCTGTTTTCTGAGTCCTGAGGCATACTTTTTGGATCCCCTTAACTGGGGCAAATCCTTAGTCTTCTAGGACAGTTTGGCATTTTGAAAATGGGTCACTCAGAGCCAAGGATAGAGAACAAGGTGTGACATGGGGGAGGAAGAAGGACTGATTGTGGTCAAGTCCAAGGTGTGACTTTAAAGCAACGAATGTGAAATCTTGGCAAAGCTTACAAAGGGCACTAAAGGCTATCTTCCAGAAAAGGCCAAGCATGAGGAATGACAGCCTCTCCAGAGTGAGAGCATGGCTGGTTGCTCCAAGGACTCATTCTAAGTACAATTCTCCCTGGGCATTGTGATCTACACTGCTTAGACTGAAGCAGTTACTTATGTGTTACATTTTTTTTAAAAAATATTGGTGGAGTGGGAGAGGACAAGGAGAAGAAGACCCCTACAACTACAACCTGCTTACCCTTTTCTCCTAAGATTTGGCCCAAGTGAATGAAAACAAGTGGAAAATGAAGAGGCCGTGTAAAGTCATGCTAAAACTGATCAGGAACTCTGGGGCCACTATCAGAGATTCTTCATTTACATACTCAGTTATTGACCATAAGAGAAAAGCATGAAATAAAAAGGGTAGTTAGTTAGGATGGAGGTTAAAAATCGCCTTCTAGAAGATACCTCACAAGGGGCTGGCAGTTTGGGGAACAGGTTGCTGGCCAAGTAATAGCTGTCATCTGACTGTCATTTCTGCCAGAGCTGGGATTCCAGTAAACAGAATTTTGTAAACATGTACACATTTAACTTCATAGCACATTCTCAAAACATTGTTGGCAATGAGGGGAAAAAAGGAGAAGCACGATTCAATCACCTCCCCCCCCACACACACACACCTGGGCACATATCAGTATCCTAAAATAAAGTACATTGCCCTGGGAATTGGAGAAGACAGGCCCTCTAATTATGTGAAAAGGCATTACCTCAGAGCCTAGGGCTCCTAGTTCTATGAACAGGAAGGAAGCAGACCCATGGCTCTATAAGAGCCATTTCCTCTCTGCTCTATTAATTTCAGAGATTAAGTAAGCCACTCCTTTTGGGCCCAATACCCTAAGATAACAGCCATTGTGTTTGCAGTGACTCCTTCTAACTGAGTTAATCTCACTAGACTGGTGATGTTTCAGGCTTTTATTGTCAAATTCAACCAACCCATGGCCCTCATGGCCCTATCTATCATTGTCTTGGACTCACAGAACTACCACTAGAATCAAAATGCTAAATTTCAGACACATGATTTCTGGATTCCTAGAGTGGAAAGCAAAATTTGTCCAAAAAGTTGTAAAGAGGACACTAGGACTACAGAGTTAAAAGGGAACCCCTCTGTGTTCCCTACTCACTAGCTTCTTTCTTTTAGTCATATTAGGAAGTTAATGCAAGACATCTAGTGCTTTCCATTCTGGCTGGTTTCTATCCAAAGGTAAAGGAAGATTTTCTTTCCTCTCACCTTTCATCCTTTCCTCAATTAAAGGGGTTCAGTGCAGAGATCACTGGACTGAGAATCCAGATTGAGCCTTGGAGTGTATTTCTAGCTCTTCCACAAACCCATGTGGGACAGGAGCAGCTCATTTTCTAGATCTTTTTCACATCACATTCAATTATATTTTGGGTTAGACCCCTGCCATCAAGTTTGCATAGAGAATTTCAATAACACATCTTATATTCAACTTTAAGATTAGAAGCATTCAACACCCCCCTCCCCCCATAGCCCATTTTCTGACCGATTCCTGGAGCTTTCTGGGCTCCTGACGATTTCCCACCATGGCGAAATGGGGAAGCATGCTCTTGATTACAAGCCGACTTTTCCAGTCATCCATTGTTTGACCTGCAATTTTATTCTTGATTCTCCAAGGCGCTTCCCAAACGACCTAGACACAGGGCTTAGGGAGACAAAAAGTACACTGTCTTTCAGATATGAAGATGAGACCATTGACCCCGTGAATCACAGACTTACACTCTGAGGACAGGTTTGTGTGGAGTCAGCCACATTCCTTTTTCCGTCTCTCTCCCCACCCCAGAACCCTTGTTGAGCACCCCCACCCCCAGTGATGAAGGGCACTTCTGTGAGGCAGTTGGTAGGGTGAAGTGGCAGTCTCTGGTCATGGGGCAGAGCAGGGTTTATTGGAGAACAGGGGGTGGGTGGAGGAGCAGCCTGATATGACTAAATAGCACCAGGCACACAGATGAGGAATGTGGGCTGTAGGTCTCTCATTGCTTTTGAGTGATATGCAGTGGGACACAGGGAAGACTCTTCCATGGTCTGGGACACAGTTCCTTTGTATGAAGAATATGGTGGTTGGATCAAGTGATGGCTTAGGGCTCCTTCAGCTCTGTGAGAGTAAGTATTAGGACCCATAGAGGAGCAGATATCAACATGGCCCTGCTAGCACCTAATCAAGTGTTCTGACCAATAGTTCAAAGCACAAAGTGACACTAGAAGGAAGCAATGGGTGCTGAAAGGAGCTCAAGAAACTCTGGTGAACTGGTTTACAGGAAACAAACTGAGCAGACTGTGACCATGGCTATTCCAATGTATGTGCTCTGTGATGGAGGAGCAGGCATACAAACCCAGGTAAAGATGTCCTTTCTTTTTGTTTTCCACAAGGTGGACATGCGATAAGAGCTTTGCTAAGACATTCTTAAAAAAGAGCAGCCTGTTTTAACACAGATCTTCTTAGCAATATATTATGAGGCTCTAAAGTCTCAATGTCTGAACTTCTATCTCTATAAAGACAGAGTGTTTTTTTCCCATTCTCCCATTGAGTACAATTAAAATTTCTTGATCTTTTATATCAAACAAATAAAGAGTCTTAAAGGTAGAAAGAAGGCAGAGTGGAAAGGAACCTTGGAATTTGAGGAGTTCCTTGGGTTTTCTTTTGCCTCATATATTCCAGACTTATTACTAAAGAAACCAGGGCTGGGGTTGTGGCTCGGCGGTAGAGTGCTCACCTAGTGTGTGTGAGGCCCGGGGTTCGATCCTCAGTACCAGATAAAGATAAATCAAATAAAACAAAGGTATTGGGCTGGGGTTGTGGCTCAGCAGTAGAGTGCTCGCCTCGTATGTGCGGGACCCTGGATTTGATCCTCCGCACCATATAAAAATAAATAATTGAAATAAAGGTATTGTGTCCAACTACAAATAAAAAATAAATATTAAAAAAACAAAGGTATTATGTACAACGAAAAGAAATAAATATTAAAAAAAAAAAAAGAAACCAGCAACTCAGAATGCCAGTAGGCACTGACAAAAATGTCAACAAAAAAGTCTGCGCTTTCTAACCAGAGAACCAGGAAAGGGGTAACTTAGCAAGAAAGAAAATTTTTTAGATAAAAGTGCTCTAATTCAGCTGAACACCAGAGAAAACACTGCAGTCCCATTCCATCCCGTCAGTAAAAACCAATCAGGGATTCTAGACTCTACCCCAACTTGGCAGTAATGAGGCACTTCTCCACATCTCTGCTAGGGTGGTTATCAGTAGATGCCCAGTGGTGACCCAGAATTTTCATCCTTGCCTAGCAGAAATGAGGAGCCCCACCCTTTCTGACATTAACAAAGGTTAAATGGGGGAACCCATACTTCTATATCCACCTGGCAAAAATAAGATGGTGCCCCTCTTTCCCTGCCAGAGGCAGTATCAGAAGAAGTCAGGTACAACAGAAGATTGAAATAAGATCCACTTTTATAACATAACATCCCCAAATGTTCTGATTTCAAGAGAAAAAACACTTGTCATACCAAGAAACAAGAAGATTTAAAAATGGAAAGAAAAATATTATCAACAGATGTGTCACCAAGATGACACACAGATGTTAGAATTATCTGACAAGGATTTTAAAACACTAATCATTTAAATGCTTTAACCAACAATTACACCAAGCTTTAAACACAAAATAGAGAATGTCTCAGCAAAAAAATTACACACACACACACACACACACACACACAAACACACATGAACCAAATAGAATTTTTAGAACTGAAAAACACAATATCTGAAACTTGATGCATGGGATAAAAAGGAGCACGGAAAGGACAATGCGGGAAAAAGTTAAGATGAAACAACAGAAATTACCCAATCTGAATGACAGAGAGAAAACAGGCCAGAAAAAAAGTGAACAGAGACTTGATGATATCTGGGATTATAAACAAAAGATCTCACAATCATGCCACTAAAATTCCAAAAGGAGAGGAGGGACACAGAATAGGAGTGAAAAAGTACTTAAAGAATTAATGACTGAAACTCCCCCAAATTTGGCAAAAGACATAAATGTGGAAATTCAAGAAGCTGAGTGAACTCCCCAAAGTATAAATGCAAAGAAATCCACTTAAAACAATATATCAAAATTTGTAGAGCATAGGTAAATGCATGCTAAGAGAGAAATTTATAACATGCTTACATTACACATGAGAAAAAGTTTAAAATCAGTAATCTAAACTCTCATTTAAAGCACTAACAAAAGAAGAGCAAACTAAATCCAAAAGCAAGAAGGAAGGAATTAATGAAGAAGCAAAATAAATAATATTTAAAGCAGAAATACAATAGAGAGAAACCCAATGGGAAAAGAGCAAGACAAAATTAATAAAATTGACAAACTAGTAATCTGACAATGAAAAAAAGACAAATACAAATGGCCAATATCTTGGGCTGGGGATATGGCTCAAGCGATAGCACTCTCGCCTGGCATGCGTGCAGCCCGGGTTCGATCCCCAGCACCACATACCAACAAAGATGTTGTGTCTGCCGAGAACTAAAAAATAAATATTAAAAATTCTCTCTCTCTCTCTCTNGCCGAGAACTAAAAAATAAATATTAAAAATTCTCTCTCTCTCTCTCTCTCTCTCTCTCTCTCTCTCCCCTCTCTCACTCTCTCTTTAAAAAAAAAAAAAAACACAAATGGCCAATATCTTGAATGACTAAGTGAATGTTACCACAGAACCTGCAGGTACAAAATGGATAAGAGGATGCTATGAAAAACTCTTCACACAAAAATTTGGAAATTTAAATGAAATGAATTAATTATTGTAAAAGCACAAACTATCCAAATTATCCGATATCAAAAAATTGGAATATCCTGATATCACTTTGCACTCATGGGGATAAAAAAATACCACATTGCTGGCAGAAATGCAAAATGTTGCTGCTATTATGAAAAACGGTTTGGTAGTTTCTCAGAAAGTTGAAGAATTACCATTTGATTTCATAATTGCACTCCTAGACATATATGCCAAATAATTGCAAATGGGCATTCAAACAAATACTTCAAAGCAGATGTTCATAGCAGTACTAGTCACAAAAATCAAAAGTGAAAACAATCTAAATTTTCATCAGGGGATAAATGGATAAACAACATTTTGGAATATCCATAAAGTGGAATATTAGTTAGTTATAAAAGGGAATGAAGTGTTGCTGGGCACAGTGGTGCATCTCTGTAATCCCAGCAGCTTGAGAGGGTGAGGCAAGAGGATCAAGTTCAAAGCCAGCATCAGCAACTTAGCGATGCCCTCAGCAATTTGTCTCTAAATATAAATTTATAAATTTATAAATTAAAAAATTCAATTAAGTAATTAATTAAAAGGGCTGGGGGTGTGGCTTGGTGATTAAGTGTCCCTGGGTTCAATCCTTGGTACCAAAAAAAAGGAATGAAGTATTGATATATGATACAACATGGATGAATCTTGAAAACATGCTAAATGAAAGAAGTCAGTTACAAAAGGTTACATATTATATTTTTTTTATATGAAATGTGTAGAAGAGGTAAATTCAAAAAGATGAAAAGCAGATTGGTGGTTGCCAGGGGCTAAGTAGAAGAGACATAGGGGAACTAATTGTTTAACAATTGGTATGGTGTTTTATTTTGTGGTAATGAAAATATCTAGGAAGTAGATATGATTCCATAATATTGTGGATGTTCTAAATGTCATTTAATTGCTATACAAATTTTGTCTTTATAAAAAAAAAAATAGTGCCAGGCACGGTGGTGCATGCCTGTAATCCCAGAGGCTTGGGAGGCTGAGGTAGGAGGATTGTGAGTTCAAAGCCAGCCTCAGCAGCAGCAAGACTCTAAGCAACTCAGTGAGACCCTGTCTCTAAATAAAATACAAAATAGGGCTGGGGATGTGGCTCAGGGATCAAGTGCCCCTGAGTTCAATCCCCGGTACCGCTCCCCACAAAAAAGTGACAACGTGAAATGCTGGTGAGGATGTGGAGAAACTGGATCACTCATCCATTGCTGGAGGAAATGTACAACTGTACAGCCATTGTGAAAAACAGTTGAGCAGTTTCTTTAAAAATGTAGCTACCAGCAACTGCACTGCTGGATATTTATCCAGAGACATGAAAGTCATTACCTAAGATGTCATTTTGGGGAAAACTGGGTGAAGAGTACAGGGTTCTTTGAACTATGTTTTCAACTTCCTCTGAATATCATCATTTCCCAATGAGGACCTAACTGCTATTAAAAAAAAAAAAAGAGTTCAGGATTCATATCCAGGGAGATCACTGATTCTTCTTAGTACTTCTGGGACATTTTCTACATAGCATTCTTTCTTCAAGCAATTTATACACATTTTGTACCCACCATTTTTATTTTCTAAAATTGTCCCACCCAGATCTTCCCTGTTTCAGGAGCCAAACATGAGACTTCAGCTGTGAACTGACTCCAATATTATGATCTAGAAACACCAAAGTGAAGACAAAATGGCACATAATATACAGCATACCCAAATGAAGAAGGAAAAACAAGACCACAGATACCGCAGAGGCCATCATGAACTCCCTGGCCCAGGCAGGCCCAGCATCTCCTGTCTGTGGGGGATGGAGCACCAGATCTCATTTCAGGGCTGGCAACACAAAACCTATCAACATCAAACAAACTGCCT